AATAAAATTTGCCAAATCTTTCTCCTTATCTGATATTTGTTATTTGTACTTGTACTTACTTTCATGCATCAAAACTGTGTTTACATATTTACATCCAAACTCCATAGATACTAATGAGGGTACTCATATAACTTATCTTCATTATTTCATAAATTGTATCATAGCATTGTTTAAGTATTTTATCTACTCTGTTGTGATTTGTATGTATCATAATTCTCCTCAAGATCACTTAGGAGGTCCTCATTGACATATAGTAGTTTGGATTTTATAGATTCTCTCAATTTCTGTAAATTTGTGGAAAAATTTGAGATTGCTGGTCACATAGTTGATTCAGAACAAGGACCATCAGTGGACCTCACCCAGTCTCAAAAGTGTCAACATTCTGAGAAAGCATTAACCAAGTGTTTCACATGAAATTTATAAATCCCTCTGAGAGTATAATAGTTTGGATGGTAAAAGATCTCTCAATTTGTCAAATTTTCAGAAAAATATCAGACTGCTGGTCATTTAGTCATTTCAAAACTTTGACCAGCTCCTACATAACCAGAGTGAACAGTGAATGCATATTCAACAAAATATAGCTTCAATCTAACCTCAATCATTATAAATGTTCTTTTTGAGATACAATTGTTTCCCTTTTGTGCCCATTTCAACTAATTTTTTGTGACCTTTAAAGGTTGTGAGATCAAAAGTTTGTTTTTCTAGCTGAGGTGTTTATAATCTCAATTACAAACTCCATTTCTTTAGATGCTGATTTCCATATTACCACAATCTTTGAATGCTGCTTTATCTGTGAATAGAAAAATTTCAGCCAGAGAAGAAGCAGTTTCACCTATTAGATGTCACCTGAAACACATACTTTCGCAGCCATTTTGAATTCTTGTTTACCATTTCAAAATCATGTGACCACATACATGTAGCTAAAAGGTCTATTTACATAAAAAAAACTCATAATTCAATGTCTAATTGTTAAAAGGCTATTGAATAACTTCTTTGAAACCTATTGCACTTTAGTACACTTCTGCAACCATTGAGATCCAATCAGCATACCTTCAAAGTGGACCTATGGTGCAGAATTGCTGTTGATATGCAATTTCATCTCACACTAGATACACATATGCACTGCGAACCTACTTTTCTTGTAAAAGGCAATATCAGCAACCATGATTTCTACTCACTAACATTAACCTGTTCAAATGGTGATAAAAAAAAAAAAAGGTGCAGTGTATGGCCTTACACCAAAACTGTCACGTTTTCATAACGCAGATGGCTCTCGTGCAGAGCCAGTGATAACTATTAAGATCATGACAACATGTTCCTTGTCCATCTTTAAGGATGTTGTAGGCTCAAACTGAGCTCTATACCTTTCAACTCCTCAACCTACACTCATAATACACTTGTGTTCCCTTTGGAAAGACTTCTCACCTCCAATTCAAAATTCCCTAAATCCCGGGCACGGACAACAGATGCACATGCGTGTGAGTGCTAATGTTAAAACAGCTCATAAGCTCTTATGTTATGGCAAGAATTAGAATATTTGTGGAGATAAAAATTTAGGTTTATGAAATATAAGATGACTCACCCCGTTTGGCTCACCAGGTGTCCGAACTTTCCACGAGTTTCGCCTTCGGCCACAAACACCGTAAACAGGAGGGAACTAAGCATCCGATCTCACTCGATATAATTTTCGCTTCGAGATCTTCGTTCGCTCGTGGTCGTCCCTACTTCATTACGGCCCTACTACCACTAGCTAAAACACTTACGGCATCAAATGTTAAATTTAAATGTTCCCTAAGTCATCAGTTAACCGAAGCACAAGACTTTCAAGATAAGAGGTGTACACGTTCCACGTGAACAAGCCTCTAACAGTTTTGAAATATGCTGAATTTTTTCAAAAAAAATAGCCCATCCTTCGAGTTAAGATTCCCAGCGTTTCTTTTGCACAATCAATTAGAGATTTATCAAAAGAATACTGCGTACATTGTGCTTATACTACTGTTGTGACTTATGCTAACCTCACAAAACCGCATGTCAGCAACTAGATTCGCACCGGTAAAAAAAGGTAGTTCCCAGACCCCTCTCATCATTTAAAATCAGCAAGGGCTATTAGGTTTGATTGGGACTCGAGAAACTGAGCGTAAATCTATTCTGTCACAAATTTATATGCCCCCACTTTTAACTCGCTAAAATAAAGAGATCCTGTTTTAAACATTTACTCTAAAAGCTTTAGCGGGCCTTGTAAGTTTTTATGATTATCGGGAGCTTCAGGTCACACTACAATGCAAAGCTTTAAATACATAGATAGATAGATAGATAGATAGATAGATAGATAGATAGATAGATAGATAGATAGATAGATAGATAGATAGACATATATCTATGTAAAAAATTTGAAAATACATTGAAACAATAAAAAGTACTTACCAACAAAAAGCTGCTTTCCACGAATACTTTGCCTAAAAGAACTTGTTTTGATGAGCCTTTTAAACAGCCCGAGGGACTCTACTTGTCTAAAGTCGCCGGGAAACTGCTCCAAAGTGTGGCGCTACTGTAGGTAAAGCCATTTTTATAATAGGCTTTTTACATTAGTGAAACTGCGAGTTTGTTGTAAGCAACATAAGTTAGACTTTTCGTCCACCACTTGTTCATCTCTGACGTCGAACTAAATCGAAGCCCAAAGTAGCCTCGTTGTCTCTTACAGTCTCCTGCTGAGCTTAGTCCCGCTGCTTTGTGCCAGGAAAATTCCAAGCTCTTCTGTATGAGTAGTTAATTCATTAATAATCAAAAAGGCGAAAAAGCTAATTAAAAACCACGTTGAGATGGCAACAATGATGTAGGCTCTTTACCGTTTTCATTAGTATACAGGATTCAGTGTTGCTTATAGTGCACTGAGCAGGCGCGAAATTAGTGGAGAGCGCGTAATTTCAACCATTAGTTGTTTGAAAGTTATTAAATTTTTTTGATTACCTTTAAAATTAAGATACAGTCCTCTTCTTTTTTTAGACAATTCTCTGTGATCTTTTGGTGCTGAGCAAGTTTCCGTCCACTCTAACGGCAACAGCTCTTTTGATGTTTTTTCGCTTTTTTTACTGCTCCATTATAGCAAAGGTGGCATCGGATTAGTTTTCGATTTGCCTTCGATCGATTCGACAACTTGCAACGATTTTTAAGTTTGAGGTCATTGGTACCATCATGGAGAACAACTCGGTCCGGCGAATGCTCCAGGTTGGCTTTGAGGTAGTCCTACATAGCTTTTTTAATGGCCCTAGAGAATAGTTTGACCACTATTCTATAGCCGAAGGTTTTTTCTAGCTTTATTATGGAGTCTCCAATGAACATGGTTACACATGTGACAGCCAAAAACCAATTTCCCTTCCAAATCGACCAAACGAAACGAAGTGAAGTCATTCAAATCAAAGCGATTGCTATAAATAAATTAAAAGTTATAGGTTATCACGATTATAGCTAAAGAAATCGACAAACGAGGAAAAAAAAACGAACGGCAAAAGACACTTACAAACGTTGTACGAGATCCGTGTCAACTGGCAAATTCAGGACGATTTACAGCGACGTAAAGCGATCGATGGAGACGGTTAAAACGGTTAGGTGGTTTACACAGTTACACGGTAGATCCGCGGTGAAGAACTAAAAAACGCGACATAAACAAAGGAAAATTATACAGGAAAAAATAACAGAATATTGATGAAAGTTATGTGTGTAGAACAAAAGGCCTGAATAAAATGTGACAATTTGTACAGATACACCAATCGAATTTTTGGTGGCAACAGTACTGCAATTATCGAAGACCTTGTTATTGGACTGTGTCCCATCCTCATTGTTCCTTTCTTTTCGTGTCTTATTCTTTTTGTTGCTAACAACTTTTTATTCGTTGCACATCTATACTGCCAGAGGATATTTTTGACTTCTTGTCATTAATTGGATCTGTTAATTCTGCCACTGTTAGATCTGTTTGACGTGTTAGATCGACTGGCACCTGGCATTCGGTCGACTGCTTCTCTCCAAAAAATTACAAGGCAGATGAAAGGGGATAAAACCTTTCAGCAACTTATCTTTAGTTTGCCTCTCTCAAAGATGAAATTAAATCGCGTAGACTGTTCTTCTCGATTTGCTATTCCTACAATTCACCTGAGGACTGCTCCTGAGAGTCTTTAGATGAGCCCAAATACTCTTAATTTTTTCTTCTGGTGAAGCCAGCTTCTCTTGAATTTTGTCTTAGCCGTTGAACTTTTCCTGCATGGCCGCGTCCCCCTCAGCTTTATTTGAGGCCTGGCTTTATTCCAAAAGAACTCTATATGAACAAGATAGTAGCTAGTAAGAAGTAACTCATAATAATGACTTCATACATTCAAAACCTGTAGAGATTTGATTTAAAGATGTTCTTCGTTTGGAACAAATTGCCAACGGACACTAAAAGTGCGAATTCTTTTAACAATTTTAGACCTAGGTTTGTAGCAGTTCGTAGTTTCATTAAATACTATTTCTTACAACCCTGCAGACGGTGGCGTGTAAGTTGATAGTGCAAGAGTGGCTCGGAATGGGAGAGCTCTACATCATTCACTAATTTCTAATAAAAATATTTTCTTTTTAATTAAGTTGATAAATTTTTTACTTCAGTTATTCTCTTTAGCATTTGTTTTTTTTATATTATTTGTCTGAAATGTTCCAAAATTGCTGATTTTAAAAGTATACATAGGCAATATGTTTTTTTGTGGAAACAACAAAAAACAGAAGCTGATTGGGAGACCTCAGTTTTGAAAAGGTATGTGTAGAAAGGTATACTGACTTCTAATAGATCTTTTGTTAAAAAATTTGTTCACAAAGTGAATTATGATGTGCCCAGCTTACCATCGACATGAAAAATCCGATATAAATATTCAGCGGAAATTTTGGAGAAACATTCCAAGAATGACCTTTTGACGATGATGATGATGACTATACTTCGAGCCTTAAAAGTACAACCGTCTTTGCACAATTATATTTAGTGGAACTGGCCACGGTTAACAGTTTGAGCTGTTTTGATTGAGTGAGGTCAATATCTGCATTTATAAAAGTCGTCTAAATAAAGCCTCTAATACACAAGAATAATTCATGGAATCCAGTATTTAAGATATACACGAATATACTGGCAAGTGATTTATAGAAGCAACGGTATCTATTGTCCAGATACCTTCGATGTGCTGTTGACATGTATGAGTTGAATTCCCTCACGAGCTTACAAAACTGCGGTTTTTGGTTGTTGGTAACTTTAAAAGTGAAATGAATATCTCCTGCCATTCCTCATTAATGCGTCTAAACACAAGCAAAAACTTGATCGGCGACAGTGCAGAGGATGATTATTTTAGAGAATTAAAAATAATGGTTTGGTCTGCAGTTTTAATCTTGATGTATAGATTTCGCCAAGCCTAAAAGCGTGAGGTGCTCTCTAGTTGCAACCGTTCCTCAATGAGAAGAACATCGTTATTGATGAATATGCATTTTACTTCTCTAGGCATCGTTCCTAAAAAAACACACAGACACACAAACAGCGGAACTGTCGCCCGAAAGGGTTGAAAATGAGAGAATTTCGATGGCCGACCTGCTCCCTGAAAAAATCAACCCTATCCTTCTGCTGTCAAGGTCCCTAAAAATTATTTCAAGATAACTTCAACTCTTAACAGAGTAGGCTCCTTTTGCCTCTGTGTTTTGGTTTCTAGAATCATTAACATCATCATCTAAAATGAAACAAGTGCATGTTCAAGAGGCAGGAAAAAGTTCATCGACTGACGATAAAATGTTCAAGAAATTAAGACAAGATTTGAATTCGGGGAGGATGCACGTAATATTCACGGGAAAGTATCCAGCGTTTAAGAATAGCATATGACTACTTAAATAGACAAAATTAAATGAAAGTGGGGAAATATTCTATTTATATGACATTCTGTTTATATGACAAGAAAAAGCGTACAGGGAAATCATCTTTAAAAGTGATTTTCCGCACGCACATTCGGGAATATGAGATGAACGAAAGCAAGAATCATATCATAGTTTGGTCATTACCTGAACTCATCCTCTGCGTATTCTGCGACACAGACCATCTTTTCTTGGAAAGAATGGAGTAATTTATTCAATGGTCAACATGTCTACGTGTTCTGATTGTTATGAAAATGAATAAATTAGCATTGAATGTTGTTTTGTTATATTCTTACTACACTGAGTCATTTTTCAAAAATGCTGGTTGTCCATTTCTATATTTTTGATTTAAGTGACGGCCCTTTACTATAACTATAACTTTACTATAGTGCGTTGGAAAACTATTTTATGTTTAAAAGGCCTGCCAAATGTTTCAACTTAGAGCGAAAGTGAATAAATAATGTTGGCAAACATTACTTTCTATGAAAACGGTTTTTTTGATATTCATATAGGGGATATTCTATTTCAATATTTAGTAGTAGGGAATCTGTTGTCACGTCAATAAGAACAAGCGACCATCCGGTATAAACAGCTGATCAGTCTGACGAATATTTCTCACTGAGCTCATTAAATAGTGTTATCCGGTTAATTTTTAATGTCTCTACGGTCAAATCAGAAGTACTATCATATAAATTTCTTAAGTATATCTTAGAGTGATAATGTAGAACATTTCAAAAGCTAAAGAACAACAAAATGAAATAGCAGCTAAAGAAAATTTGGGGGAAGGAAAGAGAAATAAATCATAGTCTTCGATCAATGCTAAAAACATCTGTGATATTCAACATGATCGATATCCTTAGGTTGTTTTCTTGCGTAATAATGGCGATTAAGAACTACAGAAAGTGATACATAGGCTACATGCATAAAAAAGATGCCGTAAAGACTTCGGGATCATGCACCTCGCAAAGCCAGAGGAAGTTATTGGCAAAATCTAGTATGATACTAGAATTCACTTTAGCACTTTTTTCCAGGATGAAGGCTCCAATGGTTAAATATATCGAGATAACACACGAGATGTACTAGAAAAAGATTGATGATCGTCCTTGCCGTAAATCCCCTTACACATACTGTCTTTTTCCTTGCACTGTAACACTGCAGGATACTGCCACCGACACGGATAAAAGAGTCTAAAGGAACTCAATTCACCTGTTTAACCGGATCAAAGTTCTCGTAATGGAGGGAAATGACCCATTTAGTCTCCAAGAACCTGTAGGTAAATAGGGTCTAAATTTAAAATTTTACCAAGACATAATGAGTATATAAGATCGCCTAGTCGATTTGTCTCAGTAGAACCTTATTTCACTGACGAATAGAGTTAACTATTGGAGTTTTTGCCAAGACTTATACCCTCAAACGATGAAAGGTAAGTTTTCGAAATGTTATCGAGGTATCATCTTAATATACTGTTTTTAGTTCTACCTTGATTCTGGTTCGGAAGTGGAAATCTGATACTAAAGGAAAGAAACTTGTTGATGCGAAAAGACGACGTTTTGTGGAATTACTTGCTGGTCAAAAATTTATTAATCAAGATCAAGCATATTTTCCGTGGCGACGATCACACAAATTATAGACAAAGTCGACCAAGTATATAAAATATAAAATAGACAGTTTATAATCTATTGGTATCTATTGACAACTTGCTTAATCGTTTCATCTACTCTTTTTTTATAGTTTGGCTTGCTTTTTTTCCCTTCTTGATAACAACGTGTACGGCAATAACTAAGAAGAGATGCCAGTTCGATACGAAAACGAAGGCTAAACTGAACAAATTGCTTCCAATGCTGCTAGAGTTGAGCGTAGATGTACTCAAGACAAAAGAAACGATTGTAAGCATCTTTACTTAAGATCTCTGTAATCGATATTTCATTAAGGATCAATAATGGTGCAATTTTAATCTCTCCCTTATGCATGATATTAGCAAACACAATAAGCCGAAGGAACCAATGAAAGATATCTTCAATATAATAAAAAAGGTTCTAACGCACCATGGAGTCATTTAAGTCTATCCAATGGAATCGAAAATAAGGAAAATCAAGTTCTCTTCCCGTTTGGATAGAGCAGCATTAAAGATTTTGGTGCTAAGGGCTGGGAGGCAAGTTAGGAATGGACGGGAAATCTTCTTCTAGTTCTAGACTTCTAGAGGACTGGAGTACCACGAACGCGTTCTTCTTAACTGTTTAAAAAGGGTTGTAAAGGGACAGCCTTCGCTATATCTACAAAAAGGGGATAAGTACCAAAGTGAAAAAAATTTTAAATTGACCATTTTTTGTAACATTTTACTGTCCTGCCTCAATTGTAGGAAAAAAGATGGGTAAATGACAACTACCAGGTGGCTTCCGTAGAGTCAATAGTTACACCTATCCAACAATTACAGGCTACGAAGAAAACTACGGTGAGAGACATATCATACTCATTTACTTCTTTGCCAGTGAAACGATGCTCACTTTCAGTCACCTGTTTGTTAGTTGTGTAAACCATGTACCCTTTCCCTCGAGACTCGCCACTAACCAAATTCTGGTTTTGCATCATGAAATTTAGATCGACTTTTTCCTCCGAGGTTTTCATTTGAAACATTTCGTTTTTCTTCTTACATGGCGAGGGAAAAATTACAATAATATCGGAGACAGGGAATAAAAAACCGGAAAATGAAACAATGGTGAGACACAGATACGAAGTGATGGATGGTAGCATTTTTATCATTCTTAAATCTTCAGAACACATTAAGGGAAGGCAAACCCCGCAGACGGCTGATCTTCAGTCCCTACTGCCTGGAGATATTGGGAAAAATTTCATAGCGAGAGGCTATCCCCTTCCGGAGTTTGGCCTCTGTTCAACAATTCTAATTTCAGTGTTTTTCCTTTGCAGCCTCAAAGCACTTTAGAAGTGAACTACCGTATTTTGAAAGTGTTCCTGCCACTCATAAGAACGTTGAAAAGGCAACTCAGCGCTTTCTCAGTGGCTAGAGATGTAACGTATCAGCTTCAGGAAATTAGGTGGAAAGTTGAAAATACAATGATTTTTGTTCGGGCGATTCAAAATGCATTGAAGGTATGACAATTAAAATCTTGGTTAAAATTATCTATTAAGGAATTACTTGCAGATAACGGGCCTGTCCACTCTGTGAAGATGAAGACTTGTCGAGCAAAATGTTCGCTCGAATTCCCAGTTTTCTGTTCTTGTAGCATGCTGTTTGCACGACTAAATCTTTCAGTGTTAAGAATATGAAGTTGCATTGAGTTTAATGTAAACCAAACTGTTTCCTTTTTTTTTGAAGCCTGGCCAGCCGCAAACATCAAGTCTTCGCCCCAGCACGACCGCTGTCAGTAACTCAACTCTCAACTCAGTTAGTGGTGTTCCGATTGTTGTCCAGACCCCAACAACAGCTGCACCCTCGGCCATAACACTTTATGGAGTTGCTGTGAAAGCATCCGCTATGCTGGAAGATTTTTACACTGAAATTGTCGTAATGCAAGTGGACCTTGTGAAAGTAACAAAGATCTTGTGTCCCTAGAATAAAAAAAAAAAACACAGGAGCCGATTACAGCTTATTGTAACAATTGTGGCATAATTCAATGAAAATCACAGAAGTATAGGACTTACAAGAATGCTGTATTGTTTGTTGATCTGTCTTTCGGACGGTAAAAATCCTACAATTATAGGTAATCGCATAATTTCGAGTGCAATTTGGAATAGATAGGCACGAGTAAATTTTTTCATAGACTAACAAAATTGCACGAACCCTACGGGCCAAAAAATGTACAAGTGCCTTTTTTTCCAGATTGCGCGAGAAAACTCATGTGATTACGTATTAAAAATATACATGAAATAAATAAGAGATAGCTTATCATAATTATGCAGAAGCGAAGCGCGCATTAAGTTCAAAAATAATTTATTTAAACCATGCAAGTGACATCGTGCGTTCGGTCAAAACAACCGCGAACGATCAAAACAATAATATACAATGATATTTTTACATCTTTAAGGCGCAAAAAAGTTCAAAGTCCGGCTAAACAGTTCAAGGAATTGTTCAGTCTGTGACCGAATCACTTTCGATGAAATGGAATCGTCGTTTGCGAGGTTTTACCACGGGTAGGATCGCTTGAGCAAAGTGTTAAGCTGGGTCGGCTCGTAATTTTTGATTTCCTTGGCAATTCCCTTCTTTAAACAACACTATTTCCAAACCGAAAACTAAAAAGCAGTGCTTTTTAAAGCTTTCTCGTTGTTAGAGCTGCTTTTCAGCCGCTTTATTGTTGTTGTGGTGGCGAAAGAGACACTACTTACAACGCCGGCCATTGTTTCGCTCGCAAATTTTCAGCGTATCCAAATGTAGCGACATCCAAAGTTCGCATTTGATTGGCTATCGGTGAGTTTCTTTGATTATTGACCAAGCAGAATGTCTGGTTTGTTACTTCTTTGCACTGAATTAACCCTCTTTTGCATTGAATTACCTGAAAACTGCTTTAATCTTAACCAATCAGAACTGAGTAATCTTTTCATGTACATAATTAATAGTGTAACATTTACTACGAAGCGTTGCGTTTCAATATATGTCGACGTCTGTGGCGAGGATCTCCATGAGGCTACAAACTGAGATATCTAGTGCCCTGGGGAAGTAAACTATGGAATATTGCTCCACCTTTTGGCTATTCTGAACTAATTTAATAGCTTTTTTTATGTATGATGCGTAGAATTAGAATCAAGCCTTAGATACACAGCGTTTCGTGGTAATTTGTAATGACAATTCCGTCAACAAACATCCGAACGGTATATATACTGTAGTTTACCAAACTCATGATCAGTACATAACTCAAGATGGCACATGGTACTGAACTAACAATAATTCAAAAATAGATCGTGTTAGACGTTTTGGTGTGTAGTATCGCTACAGAAAATTGCAGAACGTTTTTAGGTTTTCGGGTTACCCAGCTCGTTTGGCTTTTAAGTGTTGTCAGTGAACCTTGACACCTTATTAACCCTTGTGAGTTGAAATGCAACGCTGATGAGGGCTATAATGAGTTCGCACAGACAAATTTGGAAGTGTTTTTGTCCTCTTCTTTCTTGAGTTGAATGATTAGATAAGGATGAAAACTTGAACGATTTACGTCAAATATACAATCGTCAAAGCCGAGTTAACGAAAATTTACAACTGAGAAACAGTCCTGATTAAATTAGTCATGATTATAAATTAATTTTAGTTTATGTTCTATTTATTTTGATGAAGAGTTTAATTTGTGCACCATCAGAAGCTCTGATGAGCTCAAATTGATATGTGTATGAGCAGATACCTGGAAACTAGAAATGCTAACTTAGCTTGGTATTTTGTAGATAAGACTTCAGATCACCGATTTTCATCTGGCTTCTTATTTAAAGAAAAATGAAAAGCTGCTGAGAAGGGGGCCTTTTTGATGGTCATCCTATTAATTTTGTCACCTTCTCCTTTCTTGTGTCGCTTTTGGTCATGCTGAAAAATACGTCTGTGCCCGCCAATCGTCTTCGGGATTTGCACGATGTTCGAGATTCTCTGCACTCCACCGCCATTGGCGAAGGTCCACTGGTTTTCTGGTTGTATCATTGCGATGTTTGGCCTATCTGACATCCAGAACATCGACACACACGGTAAGATGAGCAGGGCTCTCTTTTAAGTGGAAGATGTGGATATGTAACGAGGTGAAAATGTTGTTGCACATGTTTTAAAGGAAATTGTAGCGCTTCTTTCGGATCATTAAAATGATTTTAATAACCTTAACGACAGGAACAGTATTGTATTTTGTCGCACAAGATTTAACTCGTTCAAAACATTGACGCTTCAAAGTTTGGCGTCTGAGGAAGTACATAATCACGGATTCATGTGACTCAGCCAGTGTCACTTTGTTGCGTGAATTAAAGGCAGATTCGAACTTAACGACCTTAAGTTGCACCGGTATAAGATGAAGTTTTCGTGTTCTGTCTTAACTTTCTTATCAAGTGAATCCAATACGACCTCGACCGACTACGCCATTCGATTTTCACAAATTATTATAACTACTTTAAATTTGAAGAATACAAAACTGAAGGCTCATGCATCACAGCTTGGACTGACAAGTCTCCCCTCTCTCGATTGGGAGATGTTAACACTTTAACATGTACCCCCTATGGTTGAGAACGGTACTGAGTCTGTTACCTCTCAGGATATTTCCACCTTGGGAACGTTATTACCTTAAGCACCATGTAAGCCAGCCTCGATCAAAGTTACCGGTGACCAACGCGTGAATAATGGTTTCTCTGTTTTAAGCCTCTCATACTACCGGTTCCTTGTACAAAATTCTCATACATTACGACTGAAAGGTTACTTGGCCGTCTGCCTGATCATAAACATTAAAGAAACGATAATCAGACCTCGAAGTGTCCTCAGCACAGGCTTAGTTTGTCCAGCCGCAACATCCGGTTCCTCTTAGGTTTCCCCTAACTGTCTGCCTATTCACTTATGATATGAATTACGTGACACGCAAAAATTTTTTTTTCAATGCCTGTACTCAGAAAAGTATAAATATGGAATTTCACCGAAGAATGTTCAAGAGTACTGTCCTCTGCTTAGAGAATCATTTACGGAGCTATCACGCTTTTAAACTTGACAACTCCTCCTACAGACCTCATTTCTCTGCAATATTATGTGCAGAATACGATAAAAAATTTAGTCTCAAAGGTAGCTGAAATTGTGAATCTCAATATAACATAACTGCATACGTATAATATAATTATATCACAACTCTATGACGTACCATCGTTACTCCTGTTCTTTAGTAATGAGTGGTTTCGATGTCTTGACCATCTCAAGCACTATCCCAGGATTAGAAACTGAAGGGTCTTCCACCACTTAACACTACGGCCGACCAGCTGCAGTTCTCTTCTACCATGCGTAAGAACAGTCATAACCCTTAGTCTGTATACAAAGTAACGCACTACCTTGCACGATGTCTACTGGCTGACTAACATGAAGCATCTGTTGAAGGCCTAAATGTAATAAATTCCTAAATGTGGTAAGATTTGGTCCTAAATTTAATAAGCCTGCAATGCAATCGCTTAACTGCGATGTTAAAGTGACAGCTGTTGCGCTAAAGAATCCTCTGACCAGTATTAATGGAATATTGTGGGCTCGCTGATATTAATCAGCGTCTTTTTATTTGCTGATGATGTAGTTTGAGAAGTATTGGCTACAACCCTTATACTGATGTGCTTTTGGCATCAAATTGACGGACATCAAAACAACGAGGACGCTGACCAATACCTTTCTCTATATCATTGCCTCAGACTCTTAAGTGCAACAGATTTTGACGATATACATGTGTGATCAGTGCTGAGGTTAAAACTTCCATGAGCCAAATTATACAGAAAAGGAAGTCCACCGACCTTAACGCTAGACAAATTCCGGGCTTAGGCCTAATTCCAATTCACCTTCCTATGTCCTGAAAGGAATGTCTTGAAGAAACTGAAGAAATGGAGGCTTCACCGAGTATCTTTTCTTACAGGGCTCTCCCTCGAATGCAACAGCACTTGTGGGATCTGTAATAAGTGGAAACCATGTATCAGTAGTAATATCCTTGCGTACCTCTCAGATCACTTCCCAGGACTCAACAGGACTCCTGAATTCTACCTCACTTACAATTCATGGCGTAGCATTTAGTGTGTCGTTGGTTTTGAATGGTCTTTATTAGAGCCTTCTTGAAGTGGATGTTGATTTCAAAATGATTCTGAAGACTAAGTGTAGCAAAGACTAACAGCCTACAGTTACCATAGTCTTCGTAGCTGAGTTGTGGAGCGTAAATCCTCATGATAAGTCAGTTTATTAAGTATGGTTTTCTCCTCTAAGTAAATAAATTTACAGAATTGATATCTAATGTTTTATTTGCAATGTAATAGGTCCAAATCTAGTAGATTGCAAATAACAAAAAAACTGAGCCTAAAAGAGAAGCGTTATCTAAAGAATGTCGAATGGACACAAAAATCCTTAATAATGTCTCGGCTCCAGCTGCGTTCGCAGTTTTTTTTTTATGAAAAAATTTCGGTTGTTAGGTTTTGAATATTGACAGCGATATCAATAACAGGTCGGACAATGGAAAGGTGTAAGGCTCAGATTAACAACATAGTATTACAAATTGCTTTCAATGGAGACCTGTGTCTGTCGTTAACAGGGTCTACCTTCAGGTGGGAATGATCTGAATAGGGATAGAAAGGGACTATAAGTATTTAACCATATCGTGCATAGTGGGTACTATTTTTGAATCACAAACTGATGTAATTTACATGTATATCATCGAGTTGTAAATCATTTGGCCTATTACATAAATATGGTATCGCAGTTTGAATGCTAATGTTAAAACTTTTTAAGGGCACAATGAAACGAAAGCGTTGTGTTCCTAGACTAACGTGATTTACAGTTATAGGCACACTTCTCTAGTCAAGTAAATTATACTTGTAACCCTTCCACTCTTAATTATTTACGTCTAAACT